TCGCTTTTTTTGTAAGAGTGCATTTAATAAGTCGACTCACGTCTTATAGCAAAATTTTTCAAAAAATGATCCAAAAAACTCAGTTTGTTTTATGTATTTTCCCGTTAATTTGGGGTTATAACAACATTGATATCACCATTTATTGACAAACAGAAAAAATGAAATGACTGGCTAAATGACTTTAACCCCATTTATGTTTTTGGTTGTGTTATTGGAAAATAGTTTAAATAATAGTAATATTAATTAAATGTTTCAATTTTGCTTTTAAAAGAAAGTAAATAAAAAAGGTTTTTGAAATAAATAAAGTCTCAGGACTGACTTTATTATATTCATCAAGATACAACTCAAAGGTGATAAAAAAGTCTCGAAAAATATTATTACGATTGAAATAAAGATGTAAAGGTTATTAAAAACACTAAATTGCATCAATTTGTTCGGAAATAAAAAAGTAATATTAACATGAATGAACAATGTGTATTTATAATATAGAATGATGTTAAGAAATCAAATATAAATGACGTTCGATTTGACTTTATAATAACAACTATAAATGGTATTTAATCAAATGTCATTGATGTCAAATAAATTTAAAATTATTAGACACAAGTGAAATAATTTAAAATTGTTTTTTATTGAAATCCCCTTCTTAAACAAAAACCACTGTCAAACAATTGTTGAAAACACACCTTGATATTTCTTAAATCTATTTTAATACAAATAAATGAATGTGAATTTATCAAAAATGTAATGTACTGGTTATATCCCTTTTAACCATTAAACTACCGGAAATTGATTATAATATCTTTTGTGCAGGTACACACTATCATATTTATTTGATAAGATTAACATAAATATAAATTCTAAATTGTTTAAAATAATATTATTAAGTATACATTTTGTTTAAAATAACACCTATTAATTATTTTTTAATAATTTCTATTTTTATTCAAACGTATGTTGTTTTGTATTTACAATTTTATAATATTAATAACATTGTTTTCTAATTATAAAATAAAAATAATATTTAAAGAAAATATATATTTTATTCTTATAAATACAAAATATTTTGAGGGTTTCGACAAATGTCTTAGTTGATAATTGTCAAAGTTGACAAATGTCTTGTAATCAGAAAATACCCACAACATTTTATTTTTTTGTGATGATGAATATTTTTTTCCATTTTTCTTCAAGACGTAAACAAATTGGTGTCATATTTGTGATATTTGAATAGCGCCAAAAAGTTTCAAACCAATCTGTTGGTATTCTGTTTTGTATTCATCACAATTCAGTCACTAAAGAAAGTCTTGAATACAAAAAAAGATTGCAAAATAAAAAGACTACAAATTGGAAGTCTTTCTCTATTTGACGAACGAATAACTATCATAATCAAAGCTTTTATGAATTATTGTTCAACTCAAAAACTGGCATTAACTGTTGGGACATTTGCTTCTGTTGCTAAAACGGTAACGGATACAATTTTAAATGAGATACATTGCGTGAATGGATTATTAGACCATTTGAAATAAAATATGTAACATGATCACCAGTAGAACTTGAAAACTTGTATATCGATCCCAAAAATATCTTGGAGAATTACTTAAATCTTACACAATTTAATGGGTTTGATATGTGTTTTGTAAATAATGTGGATAAGATTGGGTTTCAAGATTTTGCAGATAGTTCATCAGTTAAGGTGTTTGTTCCAAAAAACGGCAGACATTTTAAAAATTAATATTGGTATTGAAAAATGGGAAAAACGGTCAAGTGTCATATGTATGATTTGTTTGGATGGAAGTCTGGTTTGTCCTGGTATGGTTATTACAAACCAAAAAACATATTGGTGTATTGAGAAGGTTTCCAGATGTTAGTTTCTTCCAGAGTCAAACTGGATTCGTCACCAAACAAATATTCAGTGATTGGCTGTTTTTGGTTGTTTTTCCTTTTATAGAGACAAAAAGACTTTTTCTCTATTTATCTCGAGATACATAGGAGTTGATAATATTGGATGGGTTCAGTGGACACGACTTCGAAACATTGAAAGATATACTCCTTGACCATGACATCATTCTTCACAAATACACTGCTTATTGTTCATATCTCATCCAACCTTTGGATTTGTGTTTTTTGGTAACTGGAAGAAGAAATGTATAAAAATAGTCTTTTTTAAATTTTTTATTTTTTTGACAACCACTTTCTGAAAAATCATTCCAAACTAATACGGGCTTCCTGTAAATTTACTTGTTAACCTTACGATACTGTTACCATTTTAAATAAAACACAAATTTTATTTTTTTGAACTTGATATGATATACAAAAATACTTACCTTGTGGCGGCTCTTTTGAAATACAAACAGTAAACAAACCAATCGCGCAAACAATAATTTATAGGTTTTCCTTTTTTTCTTTAATTTTTGGAAATGTTTTAAACAAAACACGAACGGTATTGGTGTTTTCATCAACAAAACATTTGTTTTCCAAAAATGTTTTATAAAAGAAAAAAAAGAATCTTAAGGTTAAACAACTGAAAAATTTATAATTCTCAAAAATATATATTAAAAATACTTTTTTATACTCGTGACAACCACTTTTTGCATCTGTACTTTAGTTATCAAGTATTTCTATATTATTGTTGTGAAAAAATTGACTAAAACGATTGTTTCTATAATACAATAATGTTCATTCGACCTTGAGTAAAACTTGGCCTTATGCAAGACTCTTATGGTCGATTTCTAATTTGATAAAACTATTATACAGTTAAATAATTAGTAACAAAAACCACTAAAACCATTTAATAACTAATTTATTAAAATGGTTTTAATTAACTAATATTTTTAAATTAAAATCTTGCATAATGCAAAGTTTTACATAAGGTCGAATAATAAAAGCTAATAACAAAAAAGCATTTTTGGGTTATTTATAAATTGTTTCTCAAAAATTAGTCAAAAAATAAAAAGTGGTACAAACAATGTGATTGACAAATGGACCGACCAAAAGTAACTATCAAACATCATAATTTAATTATAATTATATCTAAAAATGATGGATTTTGATTTATTAACCTAAAGAATAAAAAACAAAAAACACTTGTTCTATTAAGCATCAAATAATTTTTGGGGGTTTTTATCATATTGAGACCTAAATGTGTTTGATTGCACACAAGCAAGACAATTGTCGTAGAATTGATAAACGGAGAATACCGGTGATATAAATTGTTTATCAATGAATTCCGCGACTAAATTGTTAAGTTTTTATGAAAATTGGTTAAATTTTATTTGATTGAGTCAAGATTTATACTTTTTTGAGTAAGATGATTTCTCAAAAAGAACATAATTTTTCTTGTTTTGAGTACTTTCTAAATTTTATTATTTCTAAAAAAAATCTTAGCGTTTACAGTCAATATAAAAAGTGGGATGTTAAGAAAAAAGGTGATGCTAATCTAAATATTAATTAATTTAATATTATTGATAATGAATAATTAATATAAATTTATTTTGGTTTTTTTATTTTATTAATTTTTTGATTAATAATTTATATTAAAATTAATAGTAATTTTATTATTTTTCAATTGAAATTGACCAATAATTACGAGCATCCTCCTTTTTATAGCATCCCCATATTTCCTCCTACTGTACTCAATTTCTTTGTTAATCAAAAAAACACACAAAAACTAAAATAATGGCAAAAATCAAAATTTAGTACATATTTTATAAAAATATAAAAATTTTATATCAAAGAATTTTTTTTTCACAAATTTACAAAAGTTAATGTTATTAATACAATCAAAGGAGTTTATTTGTAGTAATTATAATTGTCGAAGTTGCTTAATTGTCGCACAACTGGCCAATCATTTTGTGTACGACAATTAAATAATTTGTTCTCGAACCTGTAACTTTTGTTGAATTAAAAACTAAATTTTTTATAAAAAATAAATTTCAATATTAAAAAGAATTATCTACAAAATTCACTCATTTAAGACAAATGGATACATTTTTTCTGCTGGATTTTTGACAAATAGACGCTATTGACTGTAAGCAAAAAAAAATCGGAAAAATAAAATAAATTATTTTAAATTATTATACGTAATTATTAGTAAATATGGTTCAAAAGGTACCAGATTTATTCGATACATATAACGTAAGAAGATTGACTGCATTCGTTTTGTATAAGTTCAATATGGTTGTAATTGTTAAAAAAAGACTATTTGTTTTCAATTATTTTTAATAGAGGTATTCAAAGAGTACTTTGTACTAATTAAGAACGTATATTGACTAACACTTCTAAAATAGAATTTATTAACTATTTCAAATTATATTTAAATTAAAATTATAGTAAATAGGAAACTGGGAAGATATTTTGAATATTTCCCGAAATCAAGAAATGTCGTATATTCACCTCGAGTCAGTGGATTCTGAGTGAAACAGATCATTAAAAAAAACTTATAAAAAAGCACTCGAACAATCTGTTTGTGCGCCCATACATCACTTTCTGTTTTCCCTTGGCGTGGATACCAAGCGGGGGTCCACATTAGAATTCATACAGTACGGACAAGGAAATTGGGTGAAATGGAGACGTACAAACAATGGCTTAAAGGTGGTATTCTTTCAAAAAAAAAACAAATGTTTTATTCATGTAAAGGTGATGAGGATGGTCGATGTTTAATAAAACAAATAATATATTTATATTTAAATTATACTATTATATAATTATATAATGAAGTATTCTGCCACATTGTGGTCAAATGGGAAAATATTATTTATGTTATTAGTTGTGTTATTGGTCATATGGTTTTTAATATTTATATTTATAATATCCTTTTTTGAAGCTTATCTACTTCCGGGAGTTTGTAACATTTCATTGAAAATTGACTAAAAATACAATTAATGGACAGACTTCAATAATATAATGATGGGTTCTGTCACACTGTGACAGATAAATCCTAGTTAAATAATAAAAAAATGTTATTTTATTAAAGCAAAAATAAATAAAATATGGTGTTTTAATTAATTGTTTTTATAACGATCTGATTTCTTAAAAGCTGTTTGAGGAATTTTATTAGAAGTCACTTTGGTTTGATAGAAACAACCAACTTCAAAAGTTTTTACATTTTCCAACCCATTAATTTCTTGAAGTGAAAGACAATCTGCAAATGCAGCTTCCCCAATTTCTTTGAGAATCTTGGGTAGTGTGATTATTTTCAATTTAACATCTCCAACAAAAGAGAACTCCTTAATAATTTCGACGCCTTCGGGTATTACAATTTCAACAAGTTCTTTACATGCTGAAAAAGATTGTTTGTTGATTATTTTGACCTTATTGGATATGACGACTTTACTTAACTTGCTACGACCATAAAAAGAGTTTTTCCCAATTTTTTCGATACTGTTTGGTAACTCGATCAACTTAAGATTTTCGCATGAGCAGAAAGCTTCTTCTTCTATTTCTTTAACAGAATTTGGTATAACAACTTTAGTAAGACAATTACATTCAGTAAAACAGTTTTTAGCAATTGTTTCGATATTTGGAAGCGTCACTTCATACAAAGCGCAAGCACTAAATGCATATCTTTCAATAGTAGCGAGTGTAGTTGGGAAATCGATATTTTTCAGTGATTTGCATCCGATGAAACACGCTTCTCCAATCAATTTTGTTAATTTTGGTGCAACCAGAAAAGACGCAATTTGGCAAAACGTCAATGTTGTCATTTAACACGATGTCCTCTAATTTTTTGCAGTCGATAAACATTGAATTGCCAAGACATGGGGATAACACAGTCACACTTGAAAGTGAAGTACAGCACTTAAAAACATCTTGACCAATGGAAGTCATATTCTTGGGTATAACAATCGAGAGTAACTGCTCGTCATTAAAGAAAACCTTTTCACCAATAACCTTAAGAGACTCTGGTAGTGTTATTGACGTTAAAAGTGGGCATTCCCCCAACCCACCAAATCCAAGAGTTTCTAAATAACTGCTTAATACAATACTTTTTAGGTTCTTACAAGCACCAAAGGCCCCATTTATTATTACTTTGACAGTATCTGGTAAAGTAAAAGAAGAAAAGTTTGCTTGTACAAAAACACCTTCTTCTAATGAAGTGATTTTACTTGGGATATTAATTGATATTAATGAAACACATCCATTAAAGGAGGATTCACCGATTTTAACTAGGGTGTCTGGTAGTTAAACAGACTCAACAATGGTGTTATCATTAAAGCAACCCATATCAAGCTGTGTAATATTCGAGGGAATTATAACATTCTTAAGTGTGCATTCAGAAAAAGAGTCTTCTCCTAAAATGGTAAAATTTTCTGGAATTGTGTCGTGGTATTTTTCACGGTCTTCTTTTGTGTAAGTACTCATTGATTATTTGAATTTTTTTAAATCTTTTTAATTTTTAAATATTTATAAATTTTCATTTTGAGTTAAAATATTAGTAAGTTGTTATACCAAATATTAAAGTATAAAAAATAATACGACTTAATTTTTAGTAGTATTTCCAGTTCAATAAAATTACACAAAATATCTTGTGTAATTTGTATCTGTATTATTTATTTAATTTTAATTTGTTTATTGTTTATCATTTATAATACAATAATATTCCAATTTTTAATTTTAATAAGATGTGTGTAGTCAATTAATATAATAATTTTAATTTGTTAATTTATTATCCTATTATAATTGTTATTCATTTAAATTATCTTTTTCATATTAAGTTGTTTTCAATAATAATTATTTCGATTGAACAAAATATAGTATATATTAAACATGTGCATATAAGCTTTAAAATTCACTTAATTATAAGTTTAATATAAATATATATTTTGATTGGATTCCATAACAAAAAATAAAGATAAAACATTATATTATTTTTTAAACATTTTTTTGTTTTGGTGTTTATCATCATTAAAGTCAAATAGTTATATTTTTATTTAATAATAATTTTTATATTAAAAACTACACTTTTTTGTCAATCAATGGTGTTTTATATATGTATTTCATAACAATACATTAATATTATTAGAAAATAAAACATAATTATTTTTGAAGTAACACTTTTGATTATTATTATTATTTAAAAACTGCACACCTTTTTATATCTTATAACATTTATAACAATTTTTATTAAATAATAAATAAATATAAAGATATTAGAATTATATTTATAAACTTAAAAATTATCATGTTAACCGATGTTACTAACCATGAACATGTTGAGTCTATTGATACTTCACATAGAACACATTCAGAAACAAAAAATGAGACAAAACATTATTTCACAACAGTGGCACTTTTGAGAGGTGTTTGTTCTGTTATGATAATGTTATATCATTTCGGTGGACCGCATTACAAAGCCTTACGATATTTAGTCGGTCATAGTTACCTTGGAGTTGACTTCTTCTTTTTAGTCTCAGGATTTTTTACTTCTTATACCAACAAGAATTCAAGAGATAACGATTTCATTGAAAAAACATACAAGTTTTTCAGAATGATGTTGAACACCCTTATAAAACAAATTAGTAAATTATTGCCGTGTTTAAAAATTTCAAATAGTTGCAAAAACAACTAATTGAAACCTTTTTACAATGATGATATTGAGCTTACATCTATTATTAAAACAAATGTAACAACCCAAGATAATGTAATTAAAAATGATATAGAAGCTATTCAAACAGATAGTCAAAACCAATTAACGGATAACGAAGATGTAAATACAACTGAAATAAAAATTGAAACACCAACACCAAATTTGGATAACAACATGTTAATTCAAAATGATAATTTGGAAAACAATAGAAACAAACTAAAACATAAAAATATGATATTCAACCCATTTATGTTTCTTTTGCGTCGAGTTTTTCGGTTGTTCCCAATGCAAGTGTTTGGTACCATTCTTTGTATTCTTTCATTTACCCCATTTTACACAATGAATATAGGCAAAATAATTGTTTATATAATACTTAATATATTTGCGCTTCCTAATTGGGATATGGGATGGAGATTCAAACCAAATGGTGTCGCGTGGACTGTATTCTTTGAGTATCTATTTGTTGTATTCTATGCGTTTTTCTTGCGATACATACACATTGTTTTTGTAGTATTTGTTTATATGGTCTTCTTTTTACTGTTTGTTCTGAGCCAACTTCATGTTTTGGAGTTTCCTTTTTTGGCACAATGTAATTATTTTTAATATGGGGTTTTATTTTAGTGACAGTGGGTTTTTGTGGGAGTTACACGTGCGGGGTTTTCATGTGTCAATGGGATGGTCATTGAATTTCTTGTATCGAAATTTCAGAAATGGTGGATCAAAAAACATGGGAAAAGACCACAAATACCATTTGGTGTGTTAATATGTGTTTGTATTATTCTTGTAACATTCAAAGTGGATAATTACAAAATGAGTAGTTTACAAAATTCGATTTATTGTTTGGTGTGTGTCTGTATTTTGTATCCAGTTACATTATTCATTGCAACCAATTGTGAAATAAACAACGACTTTATGAAAAAAGTAGCACTCTTATGTGGTGAAGTATCGTACCCAGTTTTTATGTTACACGTTTCTTTTCAAATTGGGAAAAACTTTATCAAAATTATGAATATTTTTCGTGGTTTGCATACTTTCAAATCGCATTTGTAGCGTTCATGTTTTCATGTGGTGTTTTAAAATATTACGATGTGCCTGTGAGAAATTTACTTTCAAGAATATTATTCAAAAGAAAATCTAAAAATTGATTTTTACTTGTTTTTTATTATCAACACACTCTTGAATTATTTTGGTTTTTTTCATTGTAATTTTTTTAACAAAACTGTCCGATTAAACAAAATTATAATAATGTTTTTTGTAACAATGTGGCAGATATTACCTTGTCCTATAAATAAAAAATGAGCAATTTTTATTTATCATATTGAAAATAATCATTATTAAAATAACTTGACCAAAAATACAAATTAACAAATCAATGCAAATGAAATTTTTTATGTGTTGAAGTTCATTTTAAATCATTTAGAGTTCAACCTTTTGGAAAAAACAATCTTTTATTGTGTTTGAATAATTTAAACTATTATTATTTGTTCATTCTACATTTCTGACATAATGTATTAAAATAATTTTATATATGGATACATTATCTAGGATTATAGAGTGTTCATTAAATTGTGGCATTTCACATTGCACTAAATGTTTATCTTCATCGTTGTTTAACAAGTGTGATATTCCTTATGTGCCTAATAGAGGGAGATGTGTACTGTTGGGACAAACATCCACATTGTGCAGAATGTGACTCTCAGAGTGGACAGTGTATATTATGTGAACTTGGACAATACAATTTAGTTGATGAAAAATGCGTTGAGAATGAAATCAATAATGTGCTGATGACAAAAAGCGCACTCAATTGTATGGAAGATGAAATTGAAAATGTCGAAGGTAACTCTAGTGTAATAATTAACATCAATGAATACAATAAAAGTTCAACCGAAGCTGCGAATTGTTCATATTCTATTTAAAATTGTTACATTTGAATTTTACAGCACATGGGAAAAATAAAAGATTGGAATGTTTGTTGTGTAAAACTAGCTATGGCTTTGAATCTTTAGAACACAAGAAATGTGTCAAAACAACCAATTTAGTTGACTCCAATGGATATATTATTCATTGTAAAGAAGGATGTTTAAAATTGTACTAACTTTACTAATTGTTTATACTTATTGAGTATAAACAATTATTCTTGTATGTATGTTCGTTGTGTTTGAATGGATATTATCTGAAAGATGAAAAATGCCACTTACTCTCTGAGAGTAACTGCAATTCTTATATAATCACAAATATCACCGAATTGATATGTACAAGATGCAAAGAAGAGTATGTTTTACTGGAAACAAAATGTGTTGAAAATTAGAAGAATTTTGTAGTGAGGTTGATTCCTTTTCGTCACAATATCTGTAATACCGAATACACACTGAACAAAAATAAAAAGTGTGTTGCAATTGATAAAACAGAGTTTATAATTGCTTATACATTGAATTGTATAATTTACTCATCTCGGTATAATTGATTCCTAGACATTGGTTCTAATAGACATTGGTACTAACCTTGAGTGAAAATAATTTGAAACACTTTAGAAAAAAACTTCTTCCCAAAAGTGATTTTTTAAAATAGAACAACAATTTTATTTTAATTCATTATTAAATTTAATAACTTTTTCAGAATAAATTTTAAAATTAAAAAACTTAATATTTACATGCAAAATTATTCGTTGCGTTATTTTGAAAACAGAATTGAACCAAGAAAAAATCAAGTTGTGCATCCACTTTTATCGGTTGATAGAAAATGTTATGCTTTTAACAGAAAAGCAAAAGATGGTTGTGTTGTATATAAATGCAGTGGAGATGGTTGTAAAGTTCTTGTTATAATAACAGATAACAACACTTTTAAAATTGAAGGTTCTCATACTTGTTTAATAGATCACGAAGAGTTGTATCGTGCAAGATGTCGCAGAGAAATTATTAACAATGAGCTTGATTTAAATGTTACTCAAAACATAAGACAACTGATCAACAAAATAGTTTTGCTACCCGATTGTGACAAAGCATCTGAAAAAGATATTGAAGCATGTGTTAAATATGCAAGTCGTTTACAAGATAAAATTTTGGGAACTAATAAACATTCTTAACAAGAAACTACAATACCAGAGATTCTAAAAGTTACTAAAGAACCAAGATCTGAAACTAACATTGACAACTCGTTTTTGTATTTTGACTCTAATACCTTAGACACAACTATTCCAAGAATTTTAATTTTTACTTCTTCAAACCAAAGACACATAGCTTCGAACACAACAGAAATTTTTTCTGATGGTACATATAGAATTACTCCAAATGGTGTTAGTTGTATTTATACAATTCATGCATTGATCGAAGACTACGTTTTTCCGGTATGTTTCATATTGTTACCAAATGAAAAAACACAAACATTCATTTACTCTTTTACTAAAATTTACAATCTGTTTCCACAATTAAAAATTGCTCACACAGATTGCCAATTTGCTGCAATGAATGCATATAAAAATGTATTTAAATGTGATGTTAAAATATGATTGTTTCATATGAATCAAGCAGTTTACAGAATGACTGGTAAAGTTGGGTTGTCTGCATTATACCAAAAAGATCCAATATTGCATACATGGATACGCAGACTATTTTCACTTCCATTTCTACCAGAAAATGAGATAGAAAATACATTTAAAACGTGTTTTGAACAGATGGCATTATCATCACCATACGGAGTCGGAGAAAAAGTAAAATCACAATTTGAAGATTTGTTAATATACTTTCGACGTTTTTGGTTGGAAAAAGTTGGTTGTCAATTCTGGTGTCAGTTTAATGAAAATAACAGAACTAATAACTATTCAGAAGGATTTCATAGTGGAGTTGGATTCCTTGTAATTGTAGCACATCCTAAGTTGTTGGTTTTAATTGACATCCTCAGGAAAATTGAACATAAAACTAAAATGAAATGGAATGACATGATAACGGGTAATGTTATAAAACAATACAAAAAGAATGTCACTGATCTTCAACGTAAACTATTCATATCCATGAATAATTATACCAAAAAAAATATCAGTCGAATTTGACTTATTTGGATTCAATTTCTTTGTTATACATCAGTTACAATTTGAATGTCCAATCTGCGCGTGTTAATAATTCTTATAATTCGGTTTTGCGTGGAAAAATGAAAAAAGAAATTGAGAAAATTGTTGAAGAACAACAACATTGCATTTTTGATGAAGAAGGTTCACAAATAGATAATAATCAAGTTGTGCCATTAGACATGGAAACGGAAACGGAATTTACTTCATTAAATGTTTTAAATCAAACAACTTCTTCGTGTATTGCGGATTGTACTATAATTCAACCTCGAAATGAACAACCTTTATTCAATCTCAATTGTAAACTATCATACAAAGACGAAAATCAAGTGCCCAATTTACTTGAAATGGATATAATACATATAGATTGTGAAGAAGATAAACCCAAAAATGTTGTGACAGTAAAGAACATGAAAACAAAAATTAACATCGAAAAGAAGCCAAAGAAACCTGAAGCAGATAAAAAATGTGTGCATCGTAAAAAACCATACAACAGTTCATTATTTAAAAAATTGAAAACAGCAAAAGCAAAAAGTCAAAAATATTTTTTTTTGTTTTTTAAAAAAATCACTTTTGGGAAGAAGTTTTTTTCTAAAGTGTTTCAAATTATTTTCACTCAAGGTTAGTACCAATGTCTATTAGAACCAATGTCCAGATACCCTCTGCTCAGGCCAATTAGGACCAACACGACCTGTCACTGTCGGGTCATCTTCCGTTATCCCTCTCTCTGATGGCAAATCAAGGTAATCACAAACAGCAGCTACAGCAGTCGACACCATCTGGACTTCAATGCACGATTGTACAAATTGTGTTAAATTTTTGTTGTATTGGAACATATACATCACCATTAAGGCAATTAAAGACGGGGAAATACTTGCAATTTGAATTGCGCCGACTGTCACAATAGCACCCAGTGATAAACACCCAACTAACTCAACACGAACACCCAACCATCTTTGGCAGACATTATTGGCGTAGTAAATCTTCTGTTGTTTGTTCAATTTGTTGGACAGTATCGAAGTGAATCTCCTCTCGTTTTTCATCACTTTGATGGTGTCAAGTCCAAGCAAAGTCTCTTGGAAACTGTTGTACAATGGACTTCTATTTACAACATCGAGTCGAAGTAATTGTTTGGCATATTTCATATAGATCTTGAACACATAGAAGAACCAGAATTGACCAAGAGCCATCACTGGCAGCATCAAGGAGTTGACCATAACTGGAATGATAATTAGTACGACAAGCATTGTCACTGAAGCAATAAACTGAGCCAAAGACAAATTGATTTTATCATCCAAAGTAAACAAGTTCTCTGAGAATCTATTGAGAATACGACCAATTGGGGTTGTTTGGAAAAATGACATAGGTGAATTCAAAACATGGTTCAACGCATCAAAGTGGATTTTAATTGAAGCTTTCCCATTCAAAGCTCCTAAGAAAAAGAATCTGAAAATAAAGAGGAAAAGTACAACGGCAATGATTCCTCCATATATACCAACCAACTCGTATCCATTCAATGATTTTGTAAACTCTTATTGATCCTTTTTTGATGGATCTGTCCATAAGACCAACCAGAAGTTGGAAGCAAGCAACAAAAATGATGAAACGAAGAAGAAGAACACCACCATAGCAAAGTTGAACCATCCTCCATATTTTATATACGTCATCATCGTCTTTAAAATAGATGACGTATCACGGCTTTCTCCATGAATAAGTTGTGTGACTTTGATTCCATTTTTCATTTTACGTTTTAATATTCTCTTGCCATGTTCGTCCTGATGAGAAACGTTCGCTACATAATTTGAATACAAACGCAAGAATTCACTTCCTTGTTGAGCGTGCAACTCTTCGAAAGTACCTTGTTCGACAAATGTGTTGTTCTTCATCACATAGATGTAGTCACACTCGGGGAGGTATTGGAATGTCTGTGTGATCAAAACACGCGTCTTTTCTCGTAGAATGCTTTTGATGCAGTTGTTGAAGATGTTCTGCCCGACATTTGCATCGACTGCACTCAAACAGTCGTCAAGTAAGTAGATGTCTGCATTCTGATATGCCGCACGTGCGAGCGCAAGTCGCTGTTTCTGTCCACCAGAAAGATTTGATCCGCCAATCCCAACTTCCATTTGGTCTGCACCTGGGAAGTTTTCCAAATCGTTTCTCAACTCGCAAGCCGCAACAACCTTCTCGTAGACGTCGTTGTTGTGTTTCTTTCCAAAGACAACATTATCGTGTACAGTCAAGTTCTGTACCCATGCATTCTGTGCAACATACCCTATCTTCCCATTGTACAACGCCATACCATTTGTCTTGTGTAAGTTACCAAGCAATGACCGGAAGAACGCGGACTTACCACACCCAACTTCGCCAATGATTCCAATCAGTTGCCCCTTCTTCGCAGTGAAGTTGATGTCTGAGAGCGCAGTCGAGTCGTTGTCTTCCCATGTGTATGTTGCATGTTCAACTGCAATACTTGGCGCGTCAGGCGCTGCAGTCTCAACAGCAGCAATTACATTGTCTGCATCTCGGTCTTTTTGGTCTTCACCTTTCATCAAGAACTCTTGAATTCTTCTCAACGAAGTGACACCTTGCATCGTGTCGTTTAACAATTATTTCAAAAAAGTGCCAAAGTATCATTCTGATAGGACTGACTGAGTGTCAAAAATGCTTCTTCTGGTATAATAGCATCAGCCGACCCATGTTAGATAATAATCGGAATAAATAAGTAACAAAAAAAAACTGTTGTTGGAATTGCCCAGACTATGAAGTTCATGCAACTTCTAAAAGCAATGACCCACAAGATTCTTTTGACTTCTTTCTTTCTTGTGTCGTGTAACTGACCATGCAAGTGTCTTTCCCATACCATCACTTTCACTGTCTTAATCGCATTCAATACTTCTGTCATGAGCTTCACACGGGTATCTTTAATAATCATCAACTGCTTCATTTGGTTAACAGTGAGTTTGGCTATTACAATGTTTAAAAATACTGAAATTAACATCACTAAAAGTCCAGCGCATGCACTCCATTGAACCAAGTAAAAGAGCCATATCAACGACAAAATAACTTCCAAAGTACACGACCACAACGAATAAACTTGTGAGCACATATCATTCATATAGTTTGCATCAACATCATCATATTTAAGATCTGGCCATGTGGCGTCGTGGATTGCGATTTTGCATTCATCGCGAATATTCTTTCATACATTGCCATGACGAGTGTCGACCGCATTTTCTGACCAACAACAGTGGTAATATAAGTGAAATAATGTCCACACACAGAAGATGTAAGTGCAATAATCGCCACAAATAAACCAAACATCGCACCAGTCCATTTCTGATATTGCCATGACAACGACTCAGCAACTTGTTCGTTAGTCCATGAAGACTCTGAATTCTCGATGTCGTTCCATTTGGTACCAAAGTTAATCATTACGCTTTGTGCAAAAATTGGGATGAACAAAGTGACATCATAAATGAGTCTTGGAATTATTGCGATCAACATAGGTCTTGCATTCAATAGAAACATCACTCGCGACAATTTGGACTTTGGTTTCTGTATCGCCGTTTCCCAAGCAACTTCGAATTGTTTTGTTAAGAAATTAACTTTTTTCACGTCGAGTTCTTGTATATCGGACTCGTTGAGTGACGTTTGGGGTTGGTTTTGGACACCCCAAGAAGCATAAGAATCTGTGAGAAAGTAAATATTTTAATAAAGTGTTGATCTTCTGTTTGAAAGTCATTTGATTTACATTTCTCGAGTCTACTTCTTGGTTATTTCTAAGAAATATTATTCTGATAAAACCGACTGACGTCTTGAGTTAGTGCGTTGTAATGAATGGAAGACCCATAAAAAATTTAGCGTATTTATTATAACCAAAATATGTCTGCGTCAAAAGCTACTCCTTTTTGATGACCTTTTTGTACTACAAAGTGGTCAATTTGTCTTTCTCAAAGAGTAATTAAAAGGACAATAAGATTTGGACTGCACATTATCTACACAGTTATTTAAAAAGTCACATCTATTCTCTTAACAAATGGATTTGGTCGAGTGTATTTCAGTTCTGTGCTCATAAATATAAAAAGAATGAACATACATCCAATAGTGATTGTATGACTAGTCTTTTCACACCATAAACTTCTTTTAAATATAAGCTATTATATAGACAACATAAGTATCCATACAATCACCATTAAAAAAAATGAATGACTACAAACGAGTATAAGTTAGCCAATACAATTTATTTTAAAAAACAAATAACAAGGCAATTTAATATTTAAATCCTTAATTAAATTATAAGAACACAAATACACTTTTAATCACATTAAAATAATGACTAAACGTAATATCTTTATATTCAAAAGAAATATCAATCATATGTTTTTTTATTAAATTGTTTTAATTCACGGAAACATTTAAATAAATAAAAAATTAAGAAGTAAAATGATCATAAATTTAATTAAAAGAATATTAAAGTGTTATTTTTTAAGACATAGTCATTTAGACGTGTGTAAATTGTAGAATTGTGTTTCTAACAACATTTTATTATTTTTTATCGTTTACAATTTTCTAAAATATTTAAATTGTGAAAAGCTTCGGTATTGTAGAATTGAAAAAATACAAACATTGTAATAAAAATAATTACAAAACAACATTTTTAAATAAAAATAATGTTAAGTTATACTATATTACTTTTCTTCTATCATTTCAATTTTTTGATATTGTTATAAATATTCAAAACGAAGTTTTTTGTTTAAAAAAAGACAAAAAAAAACAATTTTAATAATAAAAATAATTGTATTCTATTTTTCGCTATCTAGTGAACTTTTTCTATCCATTCATACTTTTTAAAACACATTTTAAACTCATTATTTTGTAATTTTAAACACAATTTAAATTAAATACTTGTTTAGAGTAACTTTTTTCTGAGCAAGTTTCTTACAGGAACATCGAACAGTTTCCAGCACGAATAGCCAAACACCATCGGGACAAACACCATTACGATATATAAATAGATCCACATAGACAAACTGGCATCTTTTCCGTAGTTATTACCCCATACATTAAACATCCCCAGAATATATGAATGTGTAAGATACATTGAGTACGATATTTCTCCAAGGAAATTACCAATTCTTTGAACGAATTGTGAATGAATCTTGCTTCGAGTTGCTATTAACAAAATACACGGAAAAACGATAACAACAGAACACAAATCGAAAATGCTTCTTGCCCATTTATTTTGTATATAAGGGATGTTATATAAAACGGTGATTGACACCAAAGTAATAATAAACCCAAATTTGATTTCATGTTTCTTTGGTATCTTTTCTATAATAAGTCCTGTTGTAAATGAGAACAACAATCTTGAAAATGCAATATAACAATGACTAAAACTGAATGTCCATCCTTTGACTAGTTCTCCACCCAGTCCATTTATTAAACGAAACGTGTCTATATTAAAGGCAATATCAATTATAAAGTACAAAAAGAATACATTAAGAACACAGAGTGCAATAACATTTAAAAACCTAAAAACTGTTGTAAATAATAATGCTGCTATATATTCATATAACACAGTCCAAGCCGGCCCATTTAATGGATATGCAAAACCGTTAAAATTAATAACAGAAAAATTCTCTGGCATAGGAATAGTAAAACACCCCACGATAGTGAGACAAATTAGTTTGTATAAATTGAATTCATCTCCTTTTTCATTATTTAAATAAAAGAAAAATGCACCAAACAGAGTGCTCAATACTTGCATTGGTTGTAAACGGATAATTCTTTTCAAAAGAAATGAAAATGGTTCAAAATGCTTTGATGGATTAACAGTATATGACGTCATATATCCTGATAAAAGAAAGAAAAAATCAACTGCAAGGTATGCGTGGTTAAATTGTTTTTTTCTCCAAGTTGATGGGAGTGGACCATTCAAGTGGATAAACACAATGGCAACCGCAGATATACCTCTTAAAAACGAAACAGTAGTCAGAAAGGGTTTTGTGATAGGTTGAGTATTTTCATTTAAGTCTTGTTGTTGTTCTAATTGGTTTGGTGTGTTGGGTAGTGGTAATTTGGTGTCTGTGATATTGTTTTCTATCGAAGTTGAGTTAGACTGTTTGTTAACTCGTTCAGTTTTGTTTTGGAGCTCTATCTGTACGTTTTCAAAAACATTCTCTTTTTTGTTAATCACATCAGAATCAATAGTTGACATGGTTAATTTGATAAAGTTCATTTACACTCATCGGTACTATCGTTGTTTGTTTGTAAAATAACTCGACCAATAAATACAAAATATTTATTTATTTTTAAATAAAAAACATTATTTTGAGTGTTTAGAATTGTTTCCCAATTAATTGTTAGTCAAAAATGGACAGAAAACAGATTGTGAAACGATGTACTCATTAGAGTTAAAAGAAAATTATAGCAAAAGCCATATAATCATTATAATCTTTTTAATGTTAAAGAACAAACCAATTAAAATATAATGTAAACATTTCTAATTTAATTTTTGTGGCAATAAATAGAGCGAACTTAAAAATTGTTGTTTGGCAATAATATAAAATAGTTAATAAAATTTAAATAGATCTTAACAATTTACAGGTTATTATGACACAAATAAAAATTAGTAAATGTTGATTTTCTTTTAAAGTTGTACATTTTATGAAATATTAGATATAATAATATGAAAAAGAGCAGTGAACAACATTGTAGTTATTGAATAGTTAAACGCTGACTCTATTTGAATTGTTATTTTTCATATTTAAATAATAAATAAAAACATTTCATTGTATTTGTTGATATTTATTTTTTATTCAACAAGTTTAATAAAAAAATAAAAAAACAAGTTATCTAATAATCAGAAAATCTCAAATCAATTAAATAATTTCCATATTAAGAGTTTATTAAATGTGCATAAATAAATATTAACCACATTAATAATATATTTAAAATATAAATAGTATCATACTAGGAGTTATATATAATATTGTACATAATTTAAATATAAACATTATTTATGTATTTTTTGAAAAAAAATACCATTATCATTTTTATTAGTTATTTATTAACAAAAAATATTATAAAAATATATAATAATTATCAAATAATAATAATTTTTAACCAAAAAATAAATTTTGATAAATTTTAACGCAGTTAACATATTAACCAGAAATAATTATAGTACAGATAGAGGAAAAACCGGGGACCAGACTAATTTTAGCTATCGAATATTAAGCGGATTTTATACAATAAAACGGGCGAATATATAAATAAATGTGTAATTTTCTTATTATTTGGTCTTGAAAACGGTTATTTTTCGGGATGAAAAATGAATGTGTAACCAATAAACAAACTACAGTATAACCTCCCAAGAGCGGGAGTATGTAACAATTATGTACTCTTGAGAGTGGTCATTATTAGCCAGTTAAACCTTAAAACCCGCTCGATAGAGAATTTTATTATTAGTTTTAGTCTAAAAATGCCTACTCTCAAGAGAACCTGCTCTTCATACGTCTCAAAAAACCTTCGTTTTTGACAATGAAAAATTAATGGTAATCATTTTTTTAAAAAAAATTACTGATGTACAGATGTGGTACTAAGGTTTCGACCAGGACCATGGTTTCGACTAATATTTAATAATTTTTATACCATTGTAAAAACCAAATAATTAAAGTTATATTTGGACAGGGTATTTCAAATTACTAAGGATGTGCCAAATATTTTTAGGCCACAAAATCGGGTCGCAACTCTTAAAAATAGAGCATTTTATAAATAAACAGACAAATTTTATTTTTTTTCTGAACAAATAAATTGTTAAATATCATTCAATTAATTAACAGATCAGTTCCAAAATTAAAACATGTTAAAAATACGACATCTAGATTATTTTTAGAAATACGAACTGGAATGAAACAATTTTAAATTATTACACAAAAACTTTTTTCGATCAAAACGAATAACTTCAAAACAACACAAATAACCTCTTACAACACAGAAATCATTTCTGACTTCTCTCAATTTTTCAGAAATACATTCTTAGATCCACTTTATCTTACAATTGAATATTTTAATTGATTGTTTTCGATGTTTTTAAACAAATTTATCTTTTGTAATTTGCGAATTAATATTTGAACTGACAAACTTTTTGAATATAAATTTCATATTTCATAATACATCACAAAAATACCAATAAGGATAATTAAAAAGCAACTTGTCAAGTACATAATAATTTTAAGAAAGAAAACAAATTGGATAATATTTTGTATATGAGTGGATAAAGATGTTTTTATTTTGGGAGATAATTTAATTCAATTTAGTTTGAATTTTTTTAGACATTTCATTGTTATTATAAAATTACTGATAATGTTGTGATAAGAGTGTGACAGTATTGTTCAATAATGTATATGGTCAAATGGCGAAGTTGTGTGTATGACCATTTATACAATCATCATTTGCAATCAACTATTTGTTGTTTACCCTTTATTCCTTTTTGGAATATGAAATTAAAGTGAAGGTGACTTAAATAGTCACTTATGACACAAATTGATGTTTATGAGAACGAAACACAGAAACTTTTGCTTATAGGTTTTTGATTTTTTTAAAGCAGTTATTTTATGGATGAAAAGATAGGAATTCAAATAAAAACAAGAAAAAATAATAATGTAAATATGTTTAATTTATTCAACTGGACTAATATATTTTTATGTTTCGTATTATATATATCATAAATAATTCGGTCTTTTCAAAATTATAGGAAAAAATCAATACATTTGAATATGTAATTTATGTGTGCTCTAATTCTGATAAAAATTTTATACTTTCTCTTGTGTAAAGTTGTTTTTAAAAACAAAAACAATTATTTCATAATATTTTGGCATATAAAAACACAATAAACATATTAAAGTTTACAAAACATATCAACTGTTGTTGAATAAAATAAATTAATTATATTGATTATTTATCACACAAAAATATAAATGCTGTATTACATCAACAAAGGCAATAAATGAAAGAACAATCATTATCACAATTTGATCAATGTTTGTCGTTGAGAGATACAATTTAATCATTGAATATTCAAAACATAAATATTAACAAGGAATAAGTAAGTGTACATATAAAAATTATAATGTGTATATGATTTTTAAAAAACTTTTTCAATTAAGTAGTAATAGATCAAAAAAGAAATCAAAGTATAATTTATTTATAAATTATCATTATACAATTTGAAACTTGATATTTTGAAATTTAGGTTTGTTCAAATATGTATCAATATAGTGTTCTGTTGGTTAAAAAAATAGTTATAAATTATGATTAACAAATAAAAACAATAGTATTCTGTTATTTGTAATTTTGTTATTAACCGTTTTAAACTTTTTCAAAAACATTGACAATAACAATTTAATTATGTGTATTTGATTTGTCAAATTTGATTTTATCGCAACAATTTTTCAAAAAGACCCCATTAAACTTTCAATACTTGTTGATTATTATTTATTGATCTATTAAAAAAATAATAAAGACGTTCTTAATATGTTTCATATTTAAAAAACCACATCCGACTCAGATAAAAAATAAATATTGTGTTAAAATTAAATTATATTTAATTATAGAGTAAAAATACAAATTCAGTTGGTTATTTGTAGGACCATACACAAATTTAAGTAACACCCCTTTATTATATTTATACAATTTAAAATTGGTATTGATAATAAACAGGTTTATTCAAAAATATAACTGTTTAATGAAATTAAATAACCACACAACTTATCAAAAAAAATGTTATATAATCATAAGTGAAGAAATAATGTTTATTATTATTATATATTAATAAACGAAAGAATAAAATCAATGTATAGTCAAAGACGTCTAATTGTTGTGAATATAAATGTTGAACTTATTACTTGTCGCACAACTGGCTTATCATTTGAGTGTACGACAATTAAATATTTTGTTCTTTAACATGTAACTTTTGTTGAATTAAAATCAATTTTAATAAAAATAAATTTCAATATTAAAAAGAATTTTCTACAAAATTCACTCATTTACGACAAATAAATATGTTTTTTTGCTGGATTCACAACAAATAGACGTTTTTGACTATAAAATAACGTTTAACATTTTTCTTTGAGAATTAACAATAATTAATCTTTCTATCCCTCAAAATTTATTAAAACTTTATTGTATGTAAATTCAAAATTCAAAAAAAACGATTAAAAATATATTTTTACTAAAGTTTTGGGGTGCTCGAATTTAATTTATTAAAAATTAAATGCAATTATTAAATAAAAGGTAAGATTGATCATTAGTTTTAATTAAATGAAATACTTAATACAATCAGTAATATATTGTTAAATATAACAAGTAGATTGTAATAAACATCTGTAAGCTAAAATAAACCAAATGTAATTTTCAAATACAAATAGAATTATAATATTTTTTTAATATTAAAAAACTGTTATGTTCAAATAAATTACATCATTCAAACTACACCAATATATTCTGATTTTCAAATCCTAAACTTTACTTTATTGTGAAATTTTAAACAATTAAATTGATATTATGTATAAAATTATTTAATTATTTATAACAACTTAGATAATTAAACAAACATGATATTTTTATTTTGTTTGATCATTTAAAAATTTACACCAAACATTATTTCTTATTAAACAAAAAAATATAAAAAACTGTAATAAATTTGATTATGTATAAATATTGTTGCTATATTTTGTCAAACACATTAGATGATTTTCTAGATAGATCAACTTATTATATTTAGTATTTAAAGAATTAGATTCAATCAATACAAAAATAGACAGTTGATTAACTATCATAGGCCAATTTTAAAATTAGTTGAGCTTGTTATTAATATAGCTTTTGAACATTTTCTAATAACTCTAATAATAAAATATCTCTAATATGTGTATTTTACAAATTATGTTTTAATCAAAGATACAAATATTTTATAATATTTTTTATTTGTCTTATTTTGAAAAACAATCATTTGTATATATTCAAGTTATTAACTAGTGACAAAATACTTTAATTGTAATATGTAAATTAAATGTTGTATTTTATTACACATATCATAAAACGTTTAAACATCTTAAGGGTTTCTTGAGGATAAGGTGTATCCTCAGGATTAAAGCTATCCTTATTAAAAAATATTTTTCTGAGGATACAAAAATAAAATCCATAAGGTTCAGTTCCCCATAGGGCCCACTTTCATAA